AAAGAGAAAGGAAAATGTGAAATTGCATCATATGACCCCTTTAAAGAGGTAATTGTGTACATAAGTTATTCGTTCCTGACTGTTTGCATTTGTAACTAAATTCCCACCACAGCTTGTGCTGAGAGTAGCCAGCATGTATGACTGTATCTGCTCCACCTCTTTCTTGTGCTCTCTCTCTTTCTCCCTTCTTGTCCAACACCCAGTCATTGTGTGTATGAGGAGAAAGCCCAGTGCAGCAAAGGAAGTGACCTCACTTCCATGTGGCTGCTAGAAGCTCAGTACAGAGGCATTGTGTATTGACCAAGATGTGTTTCTCACACATGTAAACACAGTGACCTCAAAAAGTATTTGGACACTTGAGAGACTTAAAATATGCAAATTTTCTTAGCATTGAATACCAAAATATATAATTTTTTTAATTCGTAACAATTCTGTTAATTCCTAACATATTAACAACCAGTTGGACAACAAAAAATTGTCCAAATGCTAAAATATATTGTAATTTAAAACCTAACAACTAAATGTACAGAAATGCACATAGCAACTGTGACTAAACTCGGGCCCAATTACACTCTTAAAAGATCAATGAATAAATGTTTTAGCACTCCAGGCTACTTTACATACTGAAAGATAATCTTCCCATTTCTATTCTCTAGCAGGAAGAGAGTGTCCGTGACTCAAATCATGGAAAGGATGATGATGTTATTATGCTGTTTATCTTAGGTCTCTCTCAGCATGTAGTGACTGACTACAAACAAGCAGTGGATCTGCTTGAGGAGGGCATCGCTAACCGCATCACAGCCGCTACACATGTCCATGACGCTAGCAGTCGATCTCATGCCATCTTTACCATTCAGTACACACAGGTTTGAATCTCATTAAGTTCATAGCAACTGAAGATCTCTCATCAGTCTTTTTCAAACACCCAAACTGCATTAGACTACTTTAGTTGTGTAACTAAATGGCTTCTAGTCACACTAGATATTTCACACATATTTCACGCTAGACACTAGATATTTTGATTTATTATCCATGTGCCAAAAATGTAATGAAATCACCTTTACAATACTGTTTTTGTACAGTATGGGGTCAGTAGGATTTTTTTTCCTAAAGAAATTAGTACTCTTATTCAGCAAAGATGGATTCAATTGATCAAAAGTAACATTGAACACTTTTATAATGTT